AATTGAAACTCGATCCCATTAGATGAGGGTATGATCCATTTGGAATCCTTGGGATTTGACTGATGCTCGAGGGAGTCGCTGGTGCTGCTGTTAAAGGTTGCGGAGCAATGTTCGTCATCATCTTCTGGCGCGCTTTCAAAGAGATCGTCACATACTTTTGTACTATGGTTTTAGTTCTCTCTTGAATCTCCTTTTCCGAGGGTGGTCGAGAAGTATTATATCGAGCAGCAAGTTCTCTGTGTCCGGTTCTATCTTGTTCAAACACTCTTTCCATTTCATTACCATATTCATCATCCACAATATTAAGATTGCGCCTAGTCGCAGTGAATACAATATTCTGCAAAGTCGGTGATAATAGCCCTAATTCATTAATCAATTCATCAACTAGCGGCGGGTAGCCTCTGCTAGTACACATCCTCGTTAGCTCCGACCAATTAGAAACTAACTTTGACAGAAATGTGCCGACTTCTTGAACGATTCGCCGATATGGCTCGGAATTTTTCATCAAATCCGCAAATGGACTTGGAAAATTAGCAAACCATCTAAGGTGATTCGGTGCCATGCCTTCATTGTCTCGTATCAGCTGACCAAGTATGCGAAATGCATGAGTTAAAGTCACTGAGTCTGGAAGCTCAGCTATACCTGTAATATCCTTACGGCTTGTATCCCACACACAGAACAGCTGATGTGTTGCAACATAATGGGCATCATCAGACTTGCAGGCAGTTTCCATCAAACTGAACCTTGGCTTTTCAAGCGCAGAATTCAAGCTGGCCATACCCCCATATCGTTCGATATACTTCTTTACCATTTCAGCACGGGGCTTCAAAGAAGGCATGGCAGGGCGAAAGGATGGCCGCCGTTGCGGACACTGCGCATGGGAAAGCATTGTCTGATCCACTTGACCCTGGACTGCTGGTAATATTTCTGAATTTCTCTTGGTAACAGATGGTACCCGACTGCTTATGTTTGGGTCCGAAGAGGACTTGGGCAGTGAATCCCGCAATGGGTTTCCAGTTGAAGTGATGTCAGCTGAGGTCTGCAGTTGAGAGATATCTTCAGACAGAGGAGGCCTTGCAGGTGTTGTCACTGTGCAAGTTTCGTCAGGCTCGTCTCTCGCTACATCAGGGAGAACTCGAGGCTGAACAATATCGGGATTCGAAGGTGTAATACATGCTTCTTGCAGAGCTTGACTTGTTGCGATTGTGGCATTCACTCTCGAAGACCCATGCGTGCCGGCGAAGGAGGCGGTGTGTGTGTTTTGAAGAGGGACAGAATTCTGCGCCAGTCCGGGACTCGATGATTCGTTGCTTGTTACTGGCGAAAGTAAAGTAGTGGTCGAAGTTCTGAAGATTACTGTAATTAGCCTCGAATCATTGAATGGAGCTTTGTTTGTGGTGTGTGCCTGACACAAGCAGGCATTCAAGGGTCGCAAACAGCATCTGGCAATAGGACCAGGATACCTGGCTCATGGCAATGATGTGAACTTCTAAAAGTCTGAAGCCCACGGGATACCCGTCCATGTCTATCTATGAATGAGTAGCCCTTTGCGCCAGCCACTCGATACAATAATTTTGTGCTCGAGTGTGTAGTTTTCAGTCAGTAAATTAGATGTAGCGTACCTTTGAGGATTATTCGCATTGCTCTGTTCTGACGGTTTAGTGATGCTAGGACGTCGTGGAGTCGGTCGAACTGGTGCCCCTCCTGCGATCATCCAAGATTTTTGTCGGGACCCGCCCAAAAAGGCGTTTAATGTGGCATTAGAGGAGACAACATCTCGTTCGGTCATGGCAGAATTGCTCTCTTTATCGGGCGGTCGGCGCATGTCTCAAGTTCGACGTTGTCGAGAATTCATTGAATCCGTTTTGGTAACAATTCAAGGTGGATTTGAAAAGCATTAGAGACCTCTCACGTATGAAGGTGTATCGAATGTTTTCTCCTCAATCCCTCGCCTTTACCTTCACCCACGTCCACGCCCTCTGTTCCAGATCTTGCGAAGTTCGTTTTGTGGAAAAAGAAAAAGGAATGGAGCCCTGTCTTATACCATACTACCGTATGTGAGATGAGATGTTCTGAACCAGGATTGCCGTAAGGGACATGTGATATCTTCTTTCTTTCTTCTACTATATGAAGGAATTAAATTATAACAGGAAATATGACAACAGAATTCAATGTAAATTGAAGAAGTTGCGTATTAAAAGTTGATGTTGTTGTTGTTGTTGTGGTGTGAAGGAGACAAGTCGAGGTCGATGAATAGATGTTTGATGAGGTTCAGTATCAGTATCAGTATCAGTATCGAGAAGGCGGTACGGTACGTAGCGATAACAAACAACCTCAAAGGTGAATGGGTGGTGAATAAACTCTGCAAGGTAGAAATCGATAATAACCAATGAGAATGAGATGAATCTATTATAACACTTAGAGGTCAGGAATACATCCAATAGGATATAATGTTTTCATTCAGATCTATCGACATGAAATATCATCAATTAAGTTTATTGAAGAATGGTTTCTTGTGTTGAATTGTTTAGGTGTTTAGGTGTACTGGATAGATGATATGAACAGAAGGACAAGAGGGTCGAAGAACAGGAGGATAGAAGGGTAGGAGGGTAGGAGGATAGGAGGATAGGAGGATAGAAGGATAGAAGGATAGAAGGATAGAAGGATAGAAGAATAGAAGAATAGAAGAATAAAAGGATAGAAGGCCAAAGGGCCAAAGGGCCAAAGGGCCAAAAGGACAAAAGGACAGAAAGACACAAGGATAGAATACCTACCTAGGTACACAGTAGTCATTTCCATAGTGATATAAATCTTGAAAAGTGTAAAGATTCAAGCAACGATGAGTTCATTACATGAGGGGTTGAGGGGGAATGAGGGGCTACAAACAGACATTACAGACTACAGACGACAGACGACAGCCTACAGCCTACAGCCTACAGACCATACAAACTTTACAAACTCCACAGACTTCCAAGATTATTACAGTGTGTGTAGTAAGAGTGTTTATCTAGTGTGAACGATATATAATCCGCTCACCTCTCAGCAGCCTGCTTCCCTTGCTTGTTAGTTAGAGTTGCTTCACATGTAGAATATAGGGACCTTTCTAGGTAGTAATGCTGTGCACTCTTACATGCATAATTGATACGATATTATGTAGCATCCAAATTGCGAAAAGTGAAAAGGCCATAAGAAGGTGTTTGGTCATGTGGCTACCATCCTTTCTCGATATATTGGTGGCACAGGAGAAGCATGGATTCTGGAATGAATGAATCACGATAGAGGTAGAGGGGAAGTACACACTTACTAATAACGATGACAGATACGGGATTTCTACCCACAAGAAGTATTTGATATCCACGTGGTATCATAACTTTAGAAAGTCGAAGAGTGGTGGCAACGCAATGGGTTTCTTTCTAGACTACCGGGAAGTGGGATCACAATTCCCCTCCAAGGATTATGAGAAGACTAGGGAGGGGGGTCAAGTTGATGGAAGAACTCATATTTATAGATCTCCGGTTGGTTGTTGTCAGCGGCAAGATTTTGGGTAAGGGTCATCACAAGATGCCCATCGAGATACCAGTCAAGATACCAGTCAAGATACCAATCAAGATATATCCCAAGTACGTACTAGGTAGGTAGATAGAGAGACCATACAGACTCCCGTCCAGAGGTACATAGCAGGCAATTCGAGCAAGCAAGAGTGATGGAAACATAGCACACATCCGCCAATTGGATTCTGTCATTGGAGATGAGATGGATGAGATGTAACTAAGGTAAGGCTCAGCCAGCTCTTTCTCCAGCCATGCATGATTGCTCCGCAGCGGTACTCTGTGTATCCTACCTAAGCTCCCAGATGGATAATATATATACCTTGTACTTTGTAGTATGGCCTAGGTAGCATGTACCTAGGTAGTATGTACACTTCCAGCTCATCACCCACTTTCCCAAAGCAGTGAGCACTTCATTTACCCATCCTGCTATCCTCACTGACTATCCTCACTTGCCTATCGAGCCTATCTAGCCTATCTACCCAGTACCCAGTACTTACTACTTACTACTTACTACTTACCACTCATTCATAATCCGATGCTCAAACCTGCGTTACTCTGTCGAGCTGAAAGTAAATGTCGAGCCAATTACCCATACTTTATTTCCTTTTTTTAGACTTCCCTTAACCTCACAGACCAAAATTTCATCAAATCTAATCCCCAAAACTCACTTAAATCATACTCCACTTGCTAAACTAAAAAAAAAAAACCATAACTATACAAATTTGTTATTATATATAGGCCCTTCATATATACTATATACGCAACTAGTAGGTATATACATTACCAGGTACCCTTTGCATTGCGATACGCCGACAACTCGCAACTCTCAACTCTCAACTCTCAACTCTCAAATCTCAAATCTCAAATCTCAACTTTCAACTTTCAATCCCCTCCCCTCCCACCACCACTCAATTCTCCATTATTTTTATCATCATCATCACACTTCTCTTCACTCACACACACACACACACACTCACACCTTACCTTACTTCACTCCAGACAACATTCATCCACTCACCCTTCACTTCAATTTCTATTTTATATTGCACGACTCAATTATGTCCCCCTGATTCAAAGACACCTCCAATCCACTTTATCAGGACTTGATCCTCTATCCATTCCTGTGCTTTGCACATTGTAGTGCACCAAACATCCAGCTAATAACCCTATCACTGGTTGTACTATACCTGCTACTCATGTTGCGACAACGAATTCACTTTTGTTGTTGTTAATGCAACCCAAAAACACACCTCTGCAACTAAAATTCGAGTCAACCACCCTTCAATTTTCAGACTATCGTTTGGCGACTACAATCTGGTTTCAATAAGCATATATCAGCTCAAAAGATCCATACCACACACGAGTTCCGATGGTTATTTTGTAAATAGTGAAGGACCCTTGGGAGGACAAGAAATTATTGAAAGAGCAGGATAGACAGAATTGAACAAGATGGAACCCCCAAGGATAATGGAGTCCAATCATCGACCAGATGCAATGCGACCAGAGCCTGGTTCAACTTTGATTGTAATTCGTAAGTTATATCTATCTTGGTTAGCATGGAGAATGGAAGTATGATGGATGCGGAATACGGATACAAGATTGCTCCAATAAATCGTCATGTAAGGGAGTGCTGCCACTAATGTTTAAACTAGATGATTTTTCTGCCCGCAGTTCTGATGAGCTCAGCTTATCAAAAGGAGATCGTGTCGAACTCATAGAGAGAGATGATGAATTTGGAGACGGATGGTACCTTGGAAGGAGTTTGGTAAACGGATCGAGTGGTTTATTCCCAGAAGGTAAGCTTCCCACAAAGGAATTGATGTCGCATTGGCTATCGAAACTGATATATCATTCAAAGTCTATACCCGATTAGCTCCTCGTGGAAACCCTTCCCATCCAAATCTTTCAACAATTTCGATGTCGCAACCCGGTGTTCTGCAAAATCCGCTGCCTCAACCATCCCTTCAAAAGCCTTTCCAACCGATTGCGCAGAGCCCTTCTGGTGAGACGACAGCTCTGCCCGAGACCTCAGGAGACATTCCAGATATCCTATCTGCAGGTCGATTATCCTCATCTCCAACCTCAATTGAATCTCCAACAAACGTTACCCCAAAATAATATCACCACTGAGTGCAGTGAGTGCGAGTTCGGCTGCGAAATCTCACGTCCACGGTCAGGATAGTCCAGTCATGAACGAAACTTTGAGTGTGATTGATGAGCACATAATAGATATGAACCATATCGTTGGTTCTGTACCGAAATCGATCAATGACTCAGGAAGTGAATATAGTAGCCATCACAATGACGCACGAATGTCATATATCAATGGTGAGGAAACGGATGAAGAAGAGGAAGACGTACACACTCTTGACGAGGTTAATATATGGACACCCGAGCAAGTCGCAGAGTACTTGTTTACCGTAGGAGTTGACAAGAAGCACTGTGAAGTGTTTCGGGATCAAGAAATCACTGGGGATGTCCTTTTGGGCATGGACCAAACATCGGTTTTCTTGAAGGAATTTGAATTAGGTTCTGTTGGACGAAGACTCAAAACATGGCAAAAAATAAAAGCCCTCCAGGACGAAGTAAATGGTGAAACGCCAACAAGAAGGAACACTGGTACATATGCTGGTAGTGAAATTGGTTCTGAGGATGGCGGCCGCCGCATTCGTAGTGGTGCTTCATCAACAATGCTACCAAGAAACCTCAGTTTGAGTAACCGGCCTGGGTCATCATCAAATAATATTCGGCAATCTCATCAGCGTCCCTCAAGAAACGACTCTGTCACAACCTCATCTCCAATATCTCCCAAAACCCCGCAAGGCAGTCCAAGAGTTCCAGGGGAGAAGAGACCTTCTGCTGCATCAATCAGGGATTTACATCACTCTAGACAAAGTTCTGTTGGTGAATTTAGTACCACTAATTCACTCATGAGTACAATTGCAGCAGATAAACCCCAAGGTGTATCTTCACACCGGAAACAAGCCTCATTTAACAAAGATTGGTCACTTGGTGATGCGACATCCGCCATATCCCAACGACCTTTATCTTCGAATCGCCCGTTATCGTCGGCTGGTCTCACGGAGATTACCACCAAGGGATCTGCTGATCAGCCATCTGAAATTATAGCCCCCCCAACTAATTTAGATATTGATCGAGGTTATTTTTCGGGTGGTGAATTGGAGGGTCGGCAGAGGAACGTGCTACGCAAGAGAGGTAGCACAGCTGGACACTCTAGAAACTCTAGTTACACTGATGAGCAAAGATTAAGGACTGCAACAACAAATTCAAGACATTCAAGATTTGGTAGCGTCGATTCAGTGAGAGAGACGACACCACCTACCGCAGCACAAAAATATTACGGCTTATCTGTAAATGGTCGTCGAAGAACCCCCTCTGAAAGTTCCGTCAATTCACCTCCTCGACCAGTACCACCCCCGAAGGACGATTTTCCACTCGTTACCAGGCTTCAACCAGAAAGATCTATGGATAGTATAATGTCGCCCAAATCACCAAGTCTCCAACAAAATTACCCTAACGATCGATTGTTACCTGTTAAACCCACAGGATCCTCTAGCCATTTCAGCATGCGCGCAATATCTGATGCTGTCACCGGCCGTGAGAAATCCCGTATTACTTCACCAACAGACACGGTATCATCTTCAACAAAAGAATCCCCACTTCAATCGCCTTCAAGAACTGGTTCGAGCACACCTTCAGCTGGCCCAAGCTTTGAACTCGATCCTGCCGATGATAAGACGGCTATGATTAATCCAAAGGCAACGAGAAAGAAGTCCAAGAAGGAAACTAGTGCCTATACGCGGGGACTCGAAAAGAAAACGCCTCAGGAACAGATGGTCGGTGCAGATTATAGTGGATGGATGAAGAAGAAAAGTTCAAATCTTATGACAACATGGAAGCCTAGACTTTTTGTGTTGAAGGGCCGCCGCCTGTCATATTACTACTCCGAGACCGATGATCAAGAGAAAGGATTGATCGATATTTCATTCCATCGAGTCTTGCCAGCCGACACTGATCGCCTTACTGGTCTGCATGCCACTCTCACCGGTGCAACGAATAGCCCTACAAGTCCTATCAATGCACAAGGAACTATTGCATCAGCGGAGGCAGATGCCGAACCAGAATCCACATTAAGCAAAAGTGGCGGTGATTCTATGTTCATTTTCAAACTTGTACCGCCACGAGCTGGTCTTTCCAGAGCTGTCAACTTCACCAAACCTACCGTGCACTACTTTGCAGTGCCAAATATCAAACAGGGTAGATTATGGATGGCTGCACTAATGAAAGCTACCATTGACCGAGACGATTCCAAACCTATAACTACAACTTATCAACAAAAGACCATTTCTCTTGCAAAAGCCCGACAAATGCGACACCGTCCTCCAGCACTTATGAACCTTGATGAAAAAGTCGAAGAGGAGACTTTGAAGACTCCGGCAAGCGATAAGCATGGTCTAAATATACATGGTATCATCTTCGATCGCGACGAGGGTGATAGTGGTGTTTCTGGGGTTTCGAAACGAGAGAGTGCGAATACAGGGACTAGTCGTGTACCGGATAGTGCGGGCATAAGTAACACCTATTCGCCAGATACCGATGTTGCAGAACCACAAACTGCTTAAGGTGGTGATTCAGAGGCCGCTTGACAATGACGATTGAGATGCTCGCACGCATTCGATTGATTACGATTGATGGACGAACACAAAGAAACACATCGAATCTTTTTTCTTTTCACTACTTCACTTCACATTTCTTCTTTTTATCTAATTTTTTCGAGCAATTCTTCGTTGCTGGCTCGATACCAATGATTATTTGCCAGGACGTTGAAAGATGCACACAATTTCAGATATCTATATAATATACCCCGTTCTAATTCAGGTGTGGTGTGCATATGGTGGGAATTGGGTGGTGGGATGTGGGTCGCTTTGACAGGGAAATGGAAGGAAATTTAGGTCGGCTTGGGGATGGATGAGGTTGGTGAGGATGGGTTGGTTGGGTTGGTGGGATGGATTGGGGGGACAAAGTAACATCAACCTCGTTTTCCTTTTTTTCTTTACAACGCATATCGGCGTCACACATACCCTCTCGATAGTTGAAGCAAGTTACTTGAATGGGAGACAGATATGGATTGATTGATGAAGAGTGAATCAATCATTGGCATGATGGGATGATAGGATTGATGATTCGCCTTTTGGAAAGGTTGCATTATCAAAAGTTGTGGATTTTGAGGGTGGAGAGAGATGAGTGTAGAATGGGGAGGGAGGAGATGAAATATGAAAGGTATGGAGAATGAGATTTATGTAGCGAATTGAAGTGGAATGAGATGAAATGAAATGAGTAAAAATTTCAATTTGAAAGCTACCTATGTTTGAGTATGGCTTAAGTGGGTGAATATGAATTTGAATTTGAATGTGAGCATGAAAGTGAAAGTGATGAAGCACATACCTTGGTAGGTGTCTTGTGAAGATGAAAGGAGAGGGGAAAACGAGGATGTATGGATGTGAAGCAATAAGCATACGGGATTAATTAAGTTAATTAGAAAGGCTTCGCTAATCTAATACGTGTCGTGCGTGTTAGTTAGTCGGTTGGTTAGTTATTGTGATGTGATGTGTTTAGTTGTTTGTTTATTTGTGAGATTATGTGTAAAGATATATACCGAGCGATGTAAAGAAAAGATGGAGGAAACTTGTATATCTCAACTCTTCAACTCGTGAACTTGTGAACTTGTGGACTCTTGAACTTGTGGACTCTTGAAGTAGGAGTACTGGTGAAGGAGGAGTGAGTACTGTACTCGCAGTTGCCCTTAACGAGGAATCCCAAAGTTTATATTATATCTTCAATCTGGAATCTGGATTCTGGATTCTGCGAGTGGGCTTGGATTGGGATTGGGATCGGGATTGCGGGTTGGGGGTTGCAATTGGGGTTGGAGGTTGCAATTGGGGTTGGAGGTGTGTTTGTGAGAGGAGATGGGAGAGAATGAGGCGGGAGAATGAGATTGAATGGGGATGAGGTTTGGAGAGATGTGTAAGTAATTAAAGACACTTAGATAGATAGGTAGTTTACTTGGGCACCGATGATAAAGTATGGTAAGAGGTAACGAGATGTGATCAAACAGCTGGGATGGTTGAAAAGGACTGTGTAAGTAAGATATCGCCTATTATGTGTGATACAAGATTTGTCTTTGACAGGCAGCCAACTTACTAGATAGGATAGGAAAGAGTGCAGAGTCTTTCGGGTGGTTTGTTGGCGGGAGAGTGTCTGATTTGATGCTTTAAATGATATGGAATTCAAGCACTGACTGACTGGTCTTGAGAATGGTCTAAGAACTTACTCATGAATGTTTCAACGACGAGCTTTATGATCTACGTTTGTGGTCCAAATTCATGGATATAAGATAGACAGCGAGAGAATTTATCAGATAAACCGCAAGAGATATGATGTGTAGAGATATGATATGTAAAGCTATCAAGTGCCTTCTCATTATGTCACAAGAGCTATCTGAATTTCTCAGACTTGAGTTCAATAAAAGCACTTGCTTCCATTACTCTATCGCATGTCATCCCAATATGAATCAGTTCCAGACTCTCAGCATTGTCACCCTATAGACTTTTAATTTGCCTCACCCCTCACCCTTTCCCATCATAAAAATAATCGCACCTAACCTACCCACCCAGCCAAACCACAACCACACCACAACCCCATCTCACAAGAAACACCAATTACGAATCACAACCGCATCCAAGAAGAGTATATGTAGGAAGTAGAGATCCATTCATGATAAGTATCAACGCCTCATTTCCATCCCGACGTATACAGATACACATCCGAGTTTTCTGAATCATTCTCGCGATATCATATCCCATCGTTTTCATTCCGCCTCTCGTTATGTATCCATCCTATCATACATTTCCTCCACTGACTGCTGTATTCATCTGCGACCTAATCCATTGTACATTGTTGTCGTCATTAAAGGGATCCCCTCGCTCATCATCATCACTCTTCTGCTTTTCCCTTCGATTCCACAAATCGACATTCCATTCCCATACCATTCTCATCTCCTTCACCAACCTTAATAACTCTTTACAAACTACACACACAATGCATTAGCTCAATTCCTTCCCTATCCCATCCCATCCCATCCCATGCTATCCCATCAAAAAAAAGAAAGAAAGAAAGAAAGTACTCACGGCGGCAAAAGATACTCGCTCCAACTGCTCGAAAAGAACGCCACCGCAATGCCAAAAACCCCAATACTCCTAACCACACTTGCATTTTCCGGCGCCGTCAACGCAGTATACGTGCTTGCGAAATAACCTTTTGGTTGAGCGGGGCGACGGCCGGAGCGCTCGACAACTACACGTTGGGCTTTTGGTGCCATGTTGTGGAGCGTTTTTGAATCGTTTAGACGTGAATTGAGTGAGGTATTTTGGTTTGCGAAGAGAAGTGGGTGGATTGTAGGGGTTTGTGTTTGAGGATGAAGTTGTCAAGGAGCGATCGAGCTTGAATATTCTTTGATACTAGTTGGGTATTGAGGAGTTTTTGGCTATGATGACGATTAGTCAGCTTGCGGGTTGAGCACGTGATTGGCGGGGGATTTTGGGGTGAGAATAAGGATGTGAGGTGCTGCTGTTTGAGAAACGTTGAGAGTATTTGAGGGGAATATTTCAATACGAGGGAATGTATACTTGGAGATACTGCCACAGTTGGGATATATAATATATTGTCACGGTTCTTGTTAAAACGACACGACAGATGGGAAATGAAAGCATCTTTCCTCAAGCTCTGCTACTGCATCTTTGATTTACCTATCTCCTATGCGATTGCGCGTAGCATATTCCAAATTTGATTCATCAACACAGCGTCAAACTCCAGCCTTTCAAGAATCAAAATCACAGCTAACTTTCCTACAATCCTAGCAATAATCATCAAACATTTTCGAACACGCCTAGCCCAGAGACAAAATCTCGAATCGTTACCGTGATAGCTTTACCAACACAGATATCAATCCGCCTCCTTCCACACACTCACATACTCATAAACACCGTGGTTTCCACCCCAGCAACTATTAAATCCATATACCAACTTGTCCATTCACCAAAAACTATCTTTCCTCCCTCAACCTACAACTCGAGCACCCTAGCCCTGTCCCGATACCCAATACCTCATATAAACATGAATATTCCGCTCTCTCCTTCCTTCACCCAACCCCGAAAGTGCGATTCGGAGACGGAATTTCCGAGAAGTGCCAGACAGCAAGAATAGAGTGGGAACTGAGATTTGAAGTTGAATTTCCCTCCTCGCCCAATATGCGCGTAACTTCTGATTCCACAATCTTCCCAAGCACCCCCCATTTTCATCTCCACAATATCACACCGGTACTCCTTCCGCATTGCAGATATCTTCAAGCTCTTCCCTTCTTTTCCCTCCTTTTTCCTCCCTCGCTGATCTTCAGATCTCTCCTCTCTCATAACTCCACCCCCCCTCTCCAATCTCGCAAACACCACACCGCCCTTCCAACATCCCAACATCCCTCTCCACCTCTCCACCTCTCCATCCCCATCCCCCTCCATCCCCATCCCTCTCAAAACCCTACAACCCCTCTCGAAACCCTACAATCCCACCTCCACCCCCTCCCCATCCATCCAACCAACCTCCCACCACCACCATCCCACACCTCAAACCCCTACTGAAAAATCCATCATCCAATCAATCCAATCCAAAATCCAACCACCATTATCCCTTACCCATTATCCGATATCACTCCTCACACATATAGAAGAGAAGAGAAGAGAAGAGAAGAGAACAAAACAACCCCACCATCTTTCATCCTTCCATTCTTTCCCGCCAAAGAAGCACTCACATACAACGAACAAACGAAAAAAAAAAAAGAGTGGGCAAAAATCATTTGGAAAAAAAATCTGCACTGCACTGCACTGCAATGCATGCATATCACTCACCCACCCACACCCACACCTGCCATCCCCACTACTCCAATATAATCCGTGCTTCACCTAGACAATCAATCTACATCGTTTGCGTTTGCATTACCGAGCCCCTTAAAACCACCCTTGAACAAATTGCGTCAATAGTAAATACATCCTTTCATCTTCATACACCATAAAATCAAATCACTCTAACAGAAAACATTCAATCATTGAAAAACAAATATGTTAATAATCTTACTCCAAATTTGCTTTGGAAAATAAACAAACTTCTTCTCGAGTCTCCTAGTAATAAAACCCGCCCTGTAATAAAAGAGAGAGAGAACTGGACCCATCAATGATAAATACACAGGATTCCTCCCTTTCCCCAAGAGATCCCAATATCCCTTCCAGCATAAAAGAAATATGGTGGATAATAAACAAGATAGACTAATCATTTAAACAAAGTAACGCCAGTTCCCATCTCATAACTTTGCCCAGTAAAAATATGCCGAGAAAGTCATAATATGAGGCAAGTAATTAAGTACGTCCTTTGACTGATCAAAAGTATAATAGCGTAAACACAAAATGAAAACCACTCCCATCCATTGATTCCTATCCAACGTCACACGATTGTGTCATGTCTTATGTAAAAGGAGTTTTTTTTAAACACTTGCAACAACCACCACCCCTTTCTAATCCTTTCTGAAGTTCCAGATTCTTTTTCACATTTGAGAGTCCATGCGCCAGGAAAGCTCGAAGTGGTATGATCCGATAAACGCCAAAGTATGCTCGAAAACGCCGGAAAATTGACCCTATGCACCTGAATTGCTTCAAACAGTCTCGGATATTTCATTTTCTCCTAGATAAGGATCAAAGTTATAATTGTCATCTGCACCACCAGTAGAATCATTCAAGAACGAATCAAAGTCAAAGTCGGTAAGAACATCCGAATTTCCATTCATAGGATTGTTGAACTCGAGCATGTCAAACTATTGAAATTTTGTTAGTGAAACCCAGAAGAAATGACATGTGATAGGCATACCGGTTGGTCATTCATTGGGAATGCATTCAGAGGATCAGGCTGCGACGAGGCAACTCCAACATTCGGGGCAGTCGCCATAGGTTGACCGTTGACGGGCTGAACAGCACCGTTTGGATTTGGACCATTGTTGAAAGTCTTCGTGTGGACCGGGGTGATCGGGGTCGCTGGGGTGGGGGTAGCGGCTTCTTGGGTTGGATCGGCGGAGGGTGTAGCACCAGCGTTGAGGTTTGCGGCGGATCCTTTCTTTGTAGCCCGCTGTTATCAATGTCAACATTTCTACCAAAAAATCCATTAAACGCTAAGAAATTTACCTTTGTTTTTGTTTCCTTGGTCTCATTCTTCTTCTTGGGGTTTGCCTTGTTCGATTGCTGAGGGGTTGGAGGTGCAGCAGTGCTACCTTGAGGGGACGACGGTTGTGTTCGTCCGTTCGCGCCAGCGTTAGCAGGAGCTGCTGGTGGAGGCATATTTCGTTGTTGAGGTGTGCCCATAGCTTGTGGGGGTCCTTGGGAAGGGTTGGCAACCATGGGAGCACCGCCGTTTGGACCATTCTGCCAGTTGCCTGCTTGCTGTCGTGCCATCATCATTTGCTGCTGTGTCATTCCTTGTGGGAATCCTGGGTGGGAACTAGGGGGTCGCATGCCGTTTGGCATCATATTACCATTCATATCGTTCATCTTGTAGAATTGTGGGTTCATGCCTGCATCCATTTGCCCAGGCTGACCCATGTTGAAGTTCATTGCGCCGGGCGATCCTCTATTTTGACCTTCGGGTAGAGGAGATGGAATGCCTGGGTTATTCATGTGAGGTGTTCCTCGCTTCATCTGCTGCTCGCTTGGGTTTGGCGAGTTCACTGATCGAGGACCACTTTGTGGCGAGGTTCCTTGTGGGAAATTGGGTCCATTGGGTCCCATGCCAGGCCCTCCGGGACCCCCTTGGCCCTCAGCGGCACCCTGTTCTTGGCGTGCCATCATTAGTCTCTTCTTGTTTTGTTGCTCAAGCAACATCAACTGCATCTGATAGTCTTGTAAAGCATGGTTACCTTGTTGGCCACTTTGTTGGCCACCTGGAGCGCCTCTCACACCGTTTTGACCCATTTCACCTGCGCCGTAACCATAAGTAGTCATTGCATTAACATCAGCACCTTGCGTCATCATGGGCGATCCTTGGTTGGGGGGGCCTCCAGCGGCTGCACCAGGCATCTGCTTTTGTTGCTGATGTGACAAACCAGCCTGATATGCTTGAAGATTCTTTTGTGGATTTTGATTTGGGAAAGGCTGGAACTGCTGAGCTGTCAGATTTGCATCGATACCATTTGAAAGTGGCAAATGAGCTGCTTGAGCAGTATTGCTGGGGGCGGTTTCTCCCACCTGTTGGCCTGGAATTCCAGTAGTTTGTCCTCTTCCATTAGGTCCCATGCCACCTTGTTGATTAAATCCGGGTCCTTCAATTCGTGGTCGCTTGGATGGGGATGGAGCGTTCTCGGCAGATCCTCCTGGCGATTGAGCTCGTTGTGGATGGTTGCCGTCCGAAGGTTCTCTTTGCATTGCTTGTTGTTTCTGCATCTGTTGCATTTGCTGCATCTGTTGCATCTGCTGTGGAGTGCTGTGGCAGTGATTGATTAGCGTTAGGACGGCAAGCAAAGATGGCTACTCACGGTTTGCCTCTACCACCATTCATTAATGCTTGTCGTGCAATTTCATTTTGCATTAAAGCTGGGTTCATACGACCATAGGCTGCACCAGGGTGCATTCCATTGGGATTAAGAGCACGAAGCGAAGCCTGCTGTTGCTCTACCTTTTGGCGCGTTTGCTATCAATAATTTAGTTAATGCTTTTCGTGAACCTCCAATAGTTGAAATACCTGTGTATGAGTGACATAGGCAAGAACGTTGCGTGATGAATCTCCCATGCTTCGCTGAGCATTGAACATTTCCCAGAAAAGGCAAAACCATTCATAGAGAAAACAGCCACTTTCAGGAGATTCCCTGGGAAGGTTTGGTAGAGGAAGATCACTGGGCCTCTTTGAATCGATATCATCTTTGGAATCATCTCCATCTTCCGCGTCGCCCCGATTAGGGCTATCTTTCTGGACGTTAATTTGCTCGTTCAACATTGTTCTGGCGCAATCAAACATGCCACTCTTGAGAAAGTATTCGTAAATGTAGGTGTTGAGTTGCGATCGAGGGCTAAAAGTGGTGTTATCTTTCATCGTAGGATGTCGAGCAGCTCCACCGGGTACCCCATTATTCATCATGGGGATACCAGTTCCAACTGGACCACCCATATTTGGCATACCGGACATATTGACGTTATTCATCGTCGCAGACTCTGAACGCGATCGAGTAGTGATAAGTGAAGGTGAGCGTGAATTTTACAATCCAACACTCGTGTAGAAGAAGAAAAACCGTCCGTC